ACGTCAAAGACACAGCGAGCGCGGCGTTTCTGTTTTAGCGAAAAGGTGCGAAGCTCCGAGAGGTCTCAGGAAACCAGGAAGCTCTGCTGGAACTGCAGGCCTCGACCGGGCGGCCGGGCTCCCTGGTCTCCGCGAGGCGGGGCTCTGGTCGCTGCTCCGCACGGCCGCTCTGCAGCCGCTCTGCAGCCCCTCCGCCTCGCAGCCGTCCCCCCGGCCCAGGTCCCCGGCGCCTCCCTTCACTCGCGTTTTTCCCACGTGCCGGTTCGCGCGCTTCCCGTTCTCCTCCAGCTCTTAGGCCTCAGCGAGAAAACGTGGCGTCTCGTTTATTTTGGGTATTCGTTGTCTAGAACTGTGCTTGGCACTTACTACATTTTAATTCGTTGTTCAACGAGTTTGTATCGAATATTATGAATCTGTTTTCTCCCAAAAGTCATGTCAGATTTACCTATTGAAATAGCACAGATCGTTTCTTTGAGTGAACTAGTGTGACACAGTTGATGAACATGACAGGAGCAGTGACTGATTTCAATAAAAATGGCAAAATTTGTACATTCACATGATTTTGTTTCTTTCAAAATAATCATCTGGAGAAATAACATATTGTTCTAAAAATGTTGCTATTGTTCACAACAACTTTGGAGCTTGTTTTCCTCAGAATTTATGAAACCTTCTTTGGCTACATACTCTATGGTAATGAAACAATCAAGCGTTTCAAAATATCTCAATATAATCTTTCAAGTTGAGAATATTGTTGTGTGAGCTGTGGCTATTTAAAAAAGTTATTCGTAGTCACATCTTTTTTTTTTTTTTTTTTTTGAATTGGAGTCTCACTCTGTCGCCCAGACTGGAGTGCAGTGGCCGCTCCTGGCCACCGCAGCCTCGACCTGCTGGGCTCCAGCCATCCTTCTGCCTCAGATTTCCGAGTAGCTGGAACTACAGGAGCATGTTACCACACCCAGCTAATTTTTTAAATTTATTGTAGAGACAAGGTCTTGCCAAGTTGCCCGGGTGGGTCTTGAACCCGCGGGCTCAGGCAATCCACTCGCCTCGGCCTCCCAAAGTGCTGGGATTACAGGCTGAGCCACCGAACCTGGCCCGTAGTCACATCTTAAACATCAGTATACTTTTTCAGTAGTGCTGAGCTGTAGGATTAAAGCATCGTTTCGATCTTTTTTTGAACAAGATAGATACAGGCATACATTGTTTTACTGCACTTTACAGATACATCATTTTTTACAAATTGAAGGCTTGTGGTGACCCTACAGTTGAGCATGTCAGTTGGCGCCACTTTCCCAGCAGCTGTCTCACGTTGTGTCTCTGTGTCACATTTCAGTAATTCTTGCAGTGTTTAAATGTTGTCATTGTTATCATTGCATTTGTTATAGTGACCAGTGATCTTTGATGTTACTGTTGTAATTGTATTGTGACACCATGAACTGTGCCCATGTAGGATGGCACTCTTAATTGATAAATGTTTGTGTTCTAAGTGTTCCACCAGTCAGCTGTTCTCCTGTCTTTCTCTCCCTTTCCTTGTGCCTTCCTGTTATAACATACAATAATATTGAAATTAAGCCACGTAGTGACCCTACAGTGGCCTCTGAGTGTTCAAGTGAAAGGAAGAGTTGCATGTCTCTCCCTTGAAACCAAAAGTGGGAAATGATTGGAAGTTCAGCGAGGAAGGCATTTTGAAAGCTAAGACAGGCAAGAATCCAGGCCTCTTGTGTCAGTTAGCCAAGTTGTGAATGCCAAGGAAAAGTTCTTGAAGTGCTACTCCAGTGAACACCCGAATGATAAGAAAGTGAAACAGAGCCGGGCTCGGTGGCTCAGCCTGTAATCCCGTGCCTTTTGGAGGCTGAGGTGAGTGGATTGCCTGAGCCCGCAGGTTCGAGACCCGCCTGGGCAGCAAGACCTCATCTCTACAATAAATCAAAAAATCAGCTGGGCATGGTAGCGCATGCCTGTAATTCCGGCTACTCAGAAGGCTGAGGCGGAAGGATCGCCGGAGCCCAGCAGGTCAAGGCTGCGGTGGCCGGGAGCGGCCACTGCACTCCAGTCTGGGCAACAGAGTGAGACTCCAACTCAAAAAAAAAAAAAAGAAAGAAAGTGAAACAGCCGCTGGGATGACAGGCACGATGGCTCCCACCTGTAATCCCAACTAAGTGGGAGACTGAGGCAGGAGGATTGCTTTTAGAAATGTTGATACTACAGTAGAAGCGGGTTCTTTGGGACGACGTGGTATGATTGTGCTGTCCTGAGGCAGAGGTTTTTCTCGAGACATTAGTCTGTTTTGGCAGGAGCACCTTGCGTCATAAGCAGTTGAGGAATGAAAAAGTTCCTTGTACATAGATCAGATTGAATGCTGGCCTTGTAGCTACCCTTTTATTTCTTCACACTAGCATCAACTTCCCAGTGTATTCAATCAATTCCTTTTCTAGCTGGTGGCTAAAGGAGGGAAGAGTTCTGCTGCTTCTGCACCTCCGGGGCAGCCAGAGGGAGGCGGCTCTCCATCAAAGCAGCCCACGAGGTCTGTGGTTTCTGTGACGTCGGCTTTGAGAGAAGTGGGCGTGGTGAGTAAACTATGATTTAGAACTAAACTGAATGCAATTACATTGATTCCTAATGTCCC